ATACTTCAGACATATTATCAGGAGGTACCAGTTCCTGGGAAAGGATATCATGTTTGGTAAGGTGGAGGGTCAGAGAAAAAGAGGAATACTCCCAGTGAGATGGATTAGCAAAGTGGCAGCATCAGTGGGCTCAAGTGTGACAATTGTGAGGTTGGCCCCGGACCAGGCAGTATTTTGTTCTGTTGTGCATAGGGTCGCTATGAGTCAATACCGGCTCGATGGCACCTAACAAGAAACAACAACAATTTTCTGTCTTGTAGATTCGTTTTACTTTGTATACCTCTATATCTTGATTGAATTCTAGGAGGCGTTGCTGTGCATGTCAGTCTCAGGTTGTTGTCTGCTGTTGTTGATTCTTAGTCCTTAGGGCTCTCTTTAGTATTTTTTGTAAAGTTGGTCTGGTTTTTACAAATTCTTTTGATTTCTGTTTATATGGAATATTCTAATGTTGCCATCATATTTGAGAGACAGTTTTGCTGGTTGGCTTTTTTTTTCTTTCAAAGTTTTGTGTATTGCCTTTCTATTGCCTTCTTGCATGCACGTTTTCTGATGAGAAACCAGAGCTTAGTTTTATTGGTTCTCATTGCAGGTAACTTCATTTTTCCTGAACTTCTTTCAGTATTCTTTTCTTACCTTTGATTTTTAGAGTTTGATTATGTATGTCATGGTGATTTTCTTTTGGGGTCTATCCTGTTTGGAGTTTGTTCACCTGTTGCTAGTGAAGTTTTATTCCAACAGCTTTTCAACTATCTTTTCTGTGCTTTTCCTTGTCTCTTCCTGTTCTTTAATTTCTATCACCTGTAAGCTATTCCTTTTCATGGTGTCCTTCATGTGTCTTTGGTTTTATTTGAACTTTTTCATTATTTTTTCTGATTGTTCTTCTAGTTTACGAGTGTTTAAATATTTCTCTTCAAGCTTTCTAATTTGGGTTTCCATTGATTCAAATCTACTCCTTTTCCTTTTTAATGTGTTGTCTACTTCTGAAATTTTAGTTTTCTGGATTTTTATTAGAAAGTTTTGTATTGTCACCAATCCTTTATTTATTTTGTTTGTTCCTGTAATGTTTTCTGAATTCTTTCTTTTTCTTGATCTCTCTGTTAATCATTTGGAGGTACCTAAATATTATCTTCTTGAATTCTTATTCAGGTATTTCCAAAGACTTTTTTTCCTCTAAAATATTTTCTATTTCTGCCTCTTGGTCACATGTTTAAGCTACTCTGTCTTGTTTATTTGTGTGAATAAAAATTGTCAGTTGCTTTTGAGACACTGTGGTGTTGTATTTGTATTAAATGGATGATTGTATGTTGGTGCTCTTAGGCACTCACCAGCCACCTCCTGGTGGGTGTGATTGTTGTTGTTATGTGCCATCAAGTCGGTTCTGACCCATAGCAACCCTGTACAGGGTTTCCGAGGCTGTAAATCTTTATGGGAGCAGAAAGCCTCCTCTTTCTCCCACGGAGTGGCTGGTAGTTTCAAACTACTGACCTTAAGGTTCACAGCCCGATTTGTAACCACTACGCTACCAGAGCTCCTTGGTGGGTGTGATTAGGGGATGGAAATGTGTGCATTGTTCTCTGTTCACTGTTTATGCAGCTCCATTTAGGATGGGTTTGGCTGATGCTGGTTGTTGTCATTGATCAGGTGTATAGCAGCTGGTATTGACTCTTGCCCAGTGGGTGGGGTTGTAGAGGGTATGCCTGTATGGGCATGGTTGCTGCCTCCTGTTGGATGAAGCAAGAAGAGAAAACACACACACAAGAGACAAGTAAAACAAACAAATAAATAAGCAAACAACAGTGAAAACAGAAAAGAACAAAGAAAGAAAAAAAAAAAAAAATAGGCAAGAGTTAGTAAAATAGTATAAAATTCCAAGAGAGAAAAAATGGAGAGAAGAATAAAAAGACATGGAAGAGAAAAATTAGAGAGAGAAAAAATAAAGAAAAAGAACTAAGCAAAATGTTAAAAGGGAAAGAGATTAAAGGGTAGTAAAAATACTACCAAGAGAAAAAAAAAATTAAAGAAGCAGAAGATGGTTGGGAAAGAGAACTAGGCAAAAAGAAGGAAAAAATGAAAATGAAGATAGGAAGGATAAAAACCAAGGTCAGATAAAGAGAAGATGAAGGAGAAGAAAGAATAAACAACAAAAACAATGAATAGAAACAGCAGGCCCAGAAAGAAGAAAATTCTGGGGTCTCTGCCAAATATGCCATATGGTAAGTAGGCAAAGAACAAGACAGTGACCCTCCATGTCCTAACTAGAGTTCCTGTGGGGCTAAGTTGGAAGTAGTTCATGCAGACCCCAAAACAGCTGAGGGATCAGGGTATTTCTATCCCAGAGTACAGCCAAGGAGAGAGATTCTGCTAATCTATAGCTTTTTAGAACCAGTTCTACAGGTATGGGGCAGGCCACACCTGGTTCCAGGTGCCAAAGCTGGTGCTGCTAGCTCCCAACCTACTTTAATCTGTCTCTGACCTTGAGAGCAGGAGCTTTGCTTGGATGGTTTGTGGATGGAGGCTGGTCACGCCTCTGGTGACCAGGGTTATATGAGGTACAAAAAAACATTTTGCACTTTCTATCAGTCAATAAGTGGTATGCCTCTGTGTCACCACTACTGCCTTCAAAGTCACCTGCAAAACTTCAAGATGGTTGTTCTCCACCTGGCCAGCTGACACAGATCACCTACCTCCTTTATTTCCCCCTACATACATCTGTTCAATTGCTTCTCCTAAGTCCAGGTATGACCAGGACCAACTTTGCAGGTTTGGAGCAGAGCTCACCTAAATTCAGGTACCAGGGTTGGTGCAGGTAACTCCCCACTCACTTTGATGGATGTACAACTGGTGCTCACCTCCATGCGGCTCTGACCTCCAGGAGAGTGGGAGCTTTGCTAGGGGTGCATATAGGTGGTGACCAGCCATGACTCTGGTCACAAGGGGAGTGTGAAGAACAAGAAAAAAAAATGCTCCTTTATCTCTGTGAGTCACTGAAATGTTTCTACAATATCAATATGTTGTCTCTGATGCTGCTCACAATATTTTAAGATGGCTGCACTCTGTCTGGTTGGCCGACACAGGTCATCAGTTGGTCTCCTTTTTTTTTTCTTCTTTATCTGTTCAGCTTCCTCTCCTAGTAAGCATCCAATCCACTTTCACATCCCTTCATCTGTAGCTCAGGGTTCCTGGACTATCACCTACATCTGTTTCACTTGGTTTTTCTTATCTGTGTTGTAGAGGATCTGTGTAGCATTTCTTCCTAGTCTGCCATGTGGCCAACTCTTCCTCTCTTCCTATATATATATAGGCTTCCATATATATATATAATATGTGCTTACCTACTTTTTGCTATTTAAGGCCACTCATCCTACTCACTCTAGCTCTGGCTGCCCTAGGGATTCGATGTCTAATTTCATGTTTGTTTGGTGGTGGGAGGGAATGGAGTTGAGAAGTCTTATCTGAAGATCTGAAAATATTTTCCTTCTATCATCACCTCAGGATGAGCTTTAGGTGGTCCTCTAGAACCTTGCTCTAAGATGGCGAGCTGACATGCCTCCCCCAATTATCACTGAAATGACTGAACAGATAAAATAGAGACCATTACCACTGAAAACTTGGGGGATGTGTCATTCACACTCCTGGAACTTAGAAAAGTTGAAGAATCCCTGAGGGAAGATTGAAGGAACACCACACTTGTCAGATGAAATGCAGGAGAAGATCTGGGTTGGGCATAGAGCATCTGCCCCCTGTGTGCTGCCTTCAAGCTTGGGTACCTGACACAGTTCAGGCAAGACCAGCATGGGAACCCTTCACAGAGCTCAGGGCTCCTACTGAACCCAGATTTGCTAGCATAAACTAGGATTCTAGTGTCAAGTGCTTACTTTATGGGGCTATTGTGAGGCACAAGATACACATCAAATGTTGTAAAATCTCTACACAGGAAGTCAGCAACCACATACAGTGTGATAGGAGCAATAGTGGTTATATGCTCAGAGTTTTGTGGGGGGCTGAAACTTTCCTGCTGATATGCCTGTATCCATCATTGTTCAACCAAGAACACAGAAACCACTCTCTGTAATTGAAGCAGGGAATATAATGCAGGGAATTGATTACACAGAGAATGAATGACCTAAAAGGGCTAAGAGGTGTTTGGTGAAGCATCCAAGAGATTAGCAAAAACAGGAATCCACCATTATTTCTAGGCTAAATCTAGGCAGTTAAGAATTGCTCTGTTTCCACCATTCATCATTTCCCCTATTGGCACCCTTTGACACCACATAGATCAGAGGTATAACCTAGAGAATGGCCATCAAACCCCTGTTTGCTCATAATGCAAGCCAGAAACAAAAACTGTTATTGGGCTAAGCCTTTGAGATTTCAGAAAGCTTGTTTATGGGACAGTGAGTGCTACTTGCTCTAATGCAAATATGCTTTTAGGCTAGAGATAAAGATCTAAGAATCATGAGTATCTGTGAGGTAGATGAAGTCAAGAAGCCATAAAAAGATTCCATAAGAAACTTGAAAAAAGTTCAGAAGATAAAAGATAAAGTCCCAAGCAGTCATATTTAGAGACCAAGCAGAAAAATAGTGAGAAGGAAAAGTACAGAAGAGAATGGAATCACAGAAGACAGGAACAAGTGTTTTAAAAACAAGTTGGTTCTGGCATTTTTAGATCCTTTGATAAAGTAAGAAATTTGAAGGCAGAAAGTCTATTTAATTTTACTTTTTGTGGGGAGGGTGCTGATGTAGCAAAGGTTAGATGTGTGAGAAAATGCAGAGAACAAGCATGCATTCCCATTTCAAGAAGCTAGACTTTAGAAGGAAGAAGAAAAGCTTGAGTGTTATCCTTGGGAAAAAGAAGAGATTGGTATTCACCATACAGTCATAAAAATAATTATTCTTATGTTGATAATTAAATGATAAATTAATGCATAATACTTATATTCTATTTCTTGGGAAAGAGGGGGACATCATCATACATATAGAAACATAGTATTTAAACTTACCTCGTATCTCCACAGTCCTCCAATGTCATAGCTTCGTTCAAAGCAGGTCGGCTCCAGTCCCTCCTCCAGACAGCTCTTAATGGCGCTTAATCCACTGACCCCAGCACCAATCACTGCAACTTTTTTCCCTGGCATTGTCTTTTGTATCAGGAAATGTAAATTACAAAATCAGAATTTATTGGCATGTGAATTTTTTATACTATAAAATGATATTTTTTATAAAATTGCTAGTTAATGCATTTAAGGAAGAGTGTATTCAAAGATCTTAAGCCATTCAGTTACCCAGAGTGACAAAGATGATTGCTTTAAATAGAGGTTTGACTGCTCAAATTTCCTTGACTATATGACTTAATTTTTATGTTTCTTTTATTGTAATTTACACACACACCATATATTCATATAAATACATGTATATACATATGTTGTTAAATGCCGTTGACTGGTCAACCTGAAATCCACTGGCTTATCCTACAGCACCACACCAGGACTCCACGTGCATCTTATCATGTTTGTTTTTGTTCCGTGCTGTTGAATCGGCTCCAACTCAGAGGGACCTTGTATAGGGTTTCTAAGGAGTGGCTGGTGAGTTTGAACTGGCAACCATGAGACTCAAACAAACCTTGCTGTTCAGTGCTTATCCTACAGCACCACACCGGGACTCCAGGTACATCTTAGTCCTTGTTTAATTACTTAATGCTACTATAGCAGAAATACCACAAGTAGATAGCTTTAAGAATTAGAAATTTATTATCCGACGGTTTAGTAGGCGAAAAGTCCGAATTCATAGTACCAGTTCTGGAGGAAGGTCCTTGTCTCTTTTTAGCATCTGTAGGCCCAACATTCCTTGGAGTTCTCTGTATATCTTGGCATCAATCTTCCTCTGGATCTAAGAGCTTCATAGTGCAGGGAATCCAGGTCTAAAGGATGCACTCCACTCCAGGCTCTTCTGCCTTGGTGGTAGAAAGTTCTTCATTCTCTGCTGAAGTCTCTTTCCTTCTATCTCTTTTAAGATAAGGGTGTTGCATTCCACACCCTTGGGAATCTCCCATAAATTGGATAAGGGTGGTGATGGGATTAAAGATGGTATATTCTATCCTTAACCCTTTAATTGTTTCATCATACCAAATCATATCAGGGGGTCTATTTACATATGAAGTGCCAGATCACTGAGAATCATGGCCCAGTTAAGTTGACACAAAACTTCAAATAGCTCAGTCCTCCACCACTTGTCTATCAGTTTGTTGCACTCTAGTGACCTGTGGGTTGCTGTGATGCTGGAAGCTATGCCACTGGTATTTTTTTTTTTTTTTTTAAGAAATCAAAGGATGTATTGCATTAGGCAAATATGCTACACAAGACCTTTTCAAAGTGTTTAAGATCAAATATGTCACTTAGAGGACTGAGGTGTGCTTGATCCAAGTCAAGGTATTGTAATCACCTCATATACATGTGAAAGTTGTACAATGATTAAAGAAGACCAAAGGAGACTCAAGGCATTTGAATTATGGTGGAGAATATTAAAATTACCATGGTGCCAAAACCACGTAGAGACCATGTCTGACTTCCACTGGCTTTACAATGGGGAAAAACAAACTCAAAATCAGCCCAAGGCCAGTTCCTATGAAGCAGAGGTCAGACGTGTATCCGCCCTACAACCTTCTTTATCCTATTCTGACACTAACCATTCCTTCCACAGCACTCTCAGCTTCACATCTGGGTTCGATAATCTATTGTAGTAGCCACGCAGAACAATAGTCACATTATGGGGTTTATTAAGGAAGTGTTGTTGTTGTGTGCCGTGGAGTCGGTTCCGACTCATAGCAACCCTGTACAGGGTTTCCGAGGCTGTAAATCTTTACAGGAGCAGAACGCCTCATCTTTCTCCCGTGGAGCAGCTAGTAGTTTCCAACTGCTGACCTTGAGGTTCGCAGCCTGATTCGTAACCACTACGCTACCAGAGCTCCTTATTAAGGAAGTGAGCAGGGTACAATTCAGGATCAAAACTAATTCAGGACACTGTAGATCTCCAGTCAGGAATGCCACTTGTCTGCCATACTGCAGGCCTCACTCTTGTTTTCAGCCTCTCAGCCATGTGGTACTTTGGCATCTGCTCTACTGGAACTCCTGTTACAAAGTTCTTTTAGCCAGTCTGTGAATCCCCAAAGGGCACATTCTTCAAGGCAGTCTCCTGCCCATAGGCACTCAGTGTTACTCCGTCTGTAGGCTTAGAACCGGAAGCTGCTCTGTCTCTCCATGCCACCGCCTCTGCTGTCGCCGCTTCTCTAGGTAGGCATCTTGCGTGTCACTCATGCTGAACGTTCGCTCTTTCTTTCTTTCTTTCTTTCTTTTTTAAGGTTTTTATTGTGGAATGAGTGAAAGTTTACAGGGCACATCATCAGTTTCACATTCAACAATTCATATAACTTGTTTCATTACAATGATTATAATCCCCTCCATATACCGTCAGTTAAAAGTATTTCTCTCTATCCA